GTCAGAAATCTGAGAGACAAATCTCCTCCCTCCAGATATTTTTCCAAGTCTGATGTGGTTGGTAGGTGGCATCTCTGCATACCTGTACTGGGAAATGGTCCTAAGTGGGGATGCTATTGCTGCTGGGCACCTTGAGGCTGGGGCCAGTGCAGTGCATCATCAGACTCGCACCCAACATGATTTTTTTGGCAATTAGTGTCACAACCAATTCAGGCAGCCATAGTGGGATGCTTTTGATGTGGATGGACGAAACCTGATGTGAACTGACAGAAGGACGGGTGGACACACAAAGCACTGCAGAGCCCCGCTGGACCCAGAGGCTCACACACTGCACATCCCTCCTGGGCTTCTCCATCTGTATCGGCTCTGTCTGTGATGCCATGGCTTCTGGCACCTTCGAGCTGCCATCTGATCCTCCCAGCAATGAGAGAGAGAGAGAGAGAGAAAGAGAGAGAGAGAGAGAGAGAGAGAGAGAGAGAGAGAGAGAGAGACAGAGAGATCTTCAAAGTCCCAGTACTGAATCTTGGTGATTCTGATTGGCATGGTTTGGTTCTGAAATCCATTCCTGGACCAACTGCCATATTTAATTAACTATATAGCTAGTATAATAAATCAATAGCTACAGTAATGTATTAATTTCCTATAGCTACTGTAGTAAGGTACCACCCCAGTGGCTTAGAATAACATAAACACACTGTCATTTCATCTGAAGGCCACAAGCCTAACACACAGGTTGGCAGCACTCAGCTCATTCTGGAGGTTGTAGAACAGGAACTCTTTCCTGGCTTTGCCAGTTGTAGAGGTTGCCTACACTCCTTGGCTCATGGCCCAACCTCCTGCTGATCTGTCCTTCCACAGTTCTGTTTCCTGTGTGACCTGAGCTTGCCTTTCTCTTATAAAGACATTCAAGCTGACCCTGAGACCTCGGGAGTTCTCTCCTGTAATTCCCTGTCTCAAGGTGTTTCATCAGAATGGAGAAAGTCACTTTTGCCACAGTGGGCAACATACTCTCAAATTCTGAGAATTAGAGGTGGATATCTTTGAGGGGACAATGATCTGCCTCTCTCAGAGGTGATGTGACATTATTGGCCAGCTGTTCAAGGTCATGTGTGCCTGGCCCTTGAGCATCAGTGGACACATGGACCCGGAGTGGGGAGGGGTGCTTCCCAGGAGAAGATGCAGTCCATCGCCCGGACTGTAGTACCAGAGGCCTACAGCGGTCAGTGTCCACAACAGAAAACACAGAAAGAAACTCAAGGGTTCTCTTGAACCATTTGTGGTCAGATTTCTTTTTGGAGTCAGACAATTTCTTTCAGGCCTTGAGCACATGTCATTGGCAAAATCACTGAAGTCATCTTTCCCTGGGAGTCTGCAGCTTGGTTCTGCCTCGGGTGTGTTTAAGAATGAGCCACGTGACGATGGGGCGCGCGGGCCAGGACTTGGGGCGGCATGGGAAAGCTCTTCACTGTCCTGCTCCTCACCAGCTCTGGAGCTTCCTCTGATCAGAGTGGGGGGAGGAACAAAGGGATGATGGAAAACTACATCATGTATTAGGTTACTGTCTCTTAAATCCCCTCAATTTAAGAGAAAACAATCTTCAAAAGAGTCATAAAGCACATGAAGGGGCAACTTGAGGGGATGCTTAGCTGAGATCAATGGCAATTTTCTCAACAGCTGAGTTTTGAATCAAAAAAATGCAAGTGAGAAGCACAGGCTTGAAGTCGCACATCTGCTGGTTTGGAAGAAGTTGATGAAAAATAAACACAGTGGCCAAGCCATGCACCTGGCCAGGGCTCCAAGACACGTGACTTCCCTTAGAGCCACATTTGACGCAGAGGCAGCACAGGCAGACCAAGGAAGGAGGGAAGGAGGGCCACTCACCGGTGTCCTCTGCAGATGAGCCGTGCAGCCATCGAGGTTCTGAGTAGCCTTTTGTTGGAGGTTACCAGAATCAGGAAATTCCACAAAGAAGGAGGAAAGACTGACCCACGAAGCTCAGAAGACAGTGAGAGCAGTTACAGATGCAGGATATGGGCTTCAGTCCGCCTGATGGTTATGAACTGTTGCGCGGGACGAGAGAGCTGAATGTGAGTTCAAACCCTGCCACCATTCAGCCGTGTCACAGAGGTCAGTTACTGGAAACTTTTCACGCCTCGATGTTTTCATCTGAGAGATGGGGATGATGCTGGTATACATTCCGTTGAGTTGGTCCCAGGGAAACCCAATGTCTAAACCCCTCACCTTTGGCTTGCTGCTGGCTCACGTGAATTATAGGTTTTCTTTGCACCCAGCTTAGTCTGGAGCCTAGGAGAGCAGACTGTACTGGGCAGGAATTGCCAGTCAAAACTGGCAGATTTTCAAATAAGCTTAAACAAAAAGAAAGGATGAGTGATTTGAAGCAGCCTAGAGATCATGCTGATTTCAGGCCCAGAGGGATGTAGAGCCTCCAAGGTCACCCTGGGCCTCCAACCCAGGCTGTCTGTTCCTTCGCTCTATGCTGGGTTCTTCCTTGGGCAGAGTCCCATCCAGCCCTGAACCCATGTGCCATTCATTACAGCGGGGCAGTGGGACTGAACTGATTGGCAGCTCTAGGTCACAACCCTACCTTGAAGCCCAGATGTCAGAGTTCCTGAGGTCCCACTGGAACCACACTCCAGATAAGTGCCCCCGCCCCCGCCAAAGGAGAATCAAAGGATGTAACTAAGTCTAAGGCACAGAGCAGATGCTGGGCAGGCAAAAATAATCAACACCCACCACTGAGGCCGTCAAGGTCAGGTCTCAGGATTCAGTGCATCAGGGTCAGATGAGACCATGCAGTCGAGCAACGGGGAGGAAGGAGCTTGTAGGAGCTGGTTGGTCTGCCCTTCTTCCACAGCCCAGCAGGTGGATCAAACGAAGAGAAAGGAGACCAGGTCCTAGCATCGGCCACAATGTGAACAGGAGTAGCCACCTGCCGGTCTTTCCCTTGGTGCAGTGAAAGTCACCAGAAATGGATTCCTGACTGACTTGGGGCTTTGAAGTTCCTCTCTACACTTAATTTGCCAAACTAGAACAAATATGTCTTGTTAATTTCATACAGATTCTGAAGGTTGATTTCAAGAATGATCCTTCCTGAAGCCTATTCTTGGGTGGTGGCCACTGTCTTCCTCCTTAGGGACACTGGCTCTCCCTTCCTTCCCTCTCTCTCCTCCCTCTATTCCTGCTTCCCGTGCCTAGTTTAACACTCTCCAGCCTTTGGTCATGGACGAACCAGCTTAGCGATTTTGCCAAGACTCCAAACCGTCTTTAGAATGATGTATGTCCTATTTTAATGCAGTTACTTTTTGACTGAAGTAAATTAGTTTAGAAAAAAAATTTTGATCAGCACTACATAATGAAAGCTAGTGCTACTTGCCATAAATAAAAGATAAATAGAAAATTATCTGTGATGAGAACCCTGTTGTGAAACGCTGGCCGCACGCCACAGAGCTGCCTGGGCGGCGAGCCCGTGCCCGCCCTCCGCACAAAGGTGGCTGTTGTTAGAGATTCTGAAGATGCTCCCAACCCTTCCCAGGTCATAGTGAGAAGGACTGAAAAAGAGAAGCCAAGGGGAGAACTTCGCATCCTATGAGGCCAGGTGGGGTGACATGTTGGGGTGTTTCCTCCAATCATGGTATCCAGATCACTCTAAGGACCAATTAAAATTCACGTTCATCTGTTGAAATTCCAGCCCCCAAAGTGAAAGGCGTGGGTTGAGGCCTTTGAGAGGTGACAAGGTTACCAAGATGGGCCCCTCAGGAATGAGATTAGTGCCCTTATGATAGAGGAACACTGGGAAGATTGTAAGGACAGAGTGAAGAGTCCAAACCTGGACCCACGAAGTGAATCTAGACATAGCATGCTGGAAGCTGATCCCAGGCTTCCAAGACTCCAGAACTATGAGAATAAACTTTCTGTTGCATACAAGCCCCCTGACTTATGGTGTTTTGTTATAGTCACCCATGCAAACTAATCCTCGGTTGGAATGCTCAAGGCTGGAAGCTTGGGTCCTCTTGCTACTGCCCATATCTGTGGCTGACTGGCTGTTGGTTGCAGGCCTCAGTTTCTCCCCATGTGGGCTTCTCCAGGTGGTCTTTCCTCCTGGGTGGGTTTGGATTTCCTCAAAGCAGTTACCGTGTTAAAAGAAGCGACCCCAGCTAACCAGTGATGGATGGAAATCGTGGCTCCTTTCTCACTGTCTCTCAGAGGTTCCCGGGTCCTCTCTGCTGCCTTCCAGTTTACAAAGCAGGTCATTAGGGCTGGAGTGGGGGTGGGGCACAGGGGTAGCATTGGTTTGAAGTCTACCGCAGGTGTCTGGAGGAATGAACGCCTGGCCCCATCAGGGGTCGCGCAGCTGAGATGCACGCCTAGCTGGAAACGCCTTCACCCAGAAGCAGGAAGCCCATCTGTGTGAGGGGCTCCAGGGGGCCAGTTCTGCTGGCCGCACAGTTGTGGAATGGGGTGTGTGTGTGTGTGTGTGTGAAGAAGTGGGGCTCCCCAGGACTGCTAGTTCACCCCGGATTCTGTGACTCTGCTCCACCACCGACCACTGCCCACCCTGTGAATCTAACTCTTGTCATGGGCTGGGAGCCAGGGCCCGACTGCAGTGCCCGTAGGTCACGAGTGTAAAGTACACGCGCGCCTTGGCCAACAGGCCCGTGCAAGGGTGAGGTGTCACCAGGTGAACACCGAGGAGGGGTTCCTCCCCTTAGACCCTGAGGTAGAGGGTTACAGCCTATCGCAGCCTTCTAATGGGCGGCTTCCAATTCCTGGGGTGGGGGCAGCTGCTGGGGGCTGTGCGTCCTGGGCAGCAAGCGGGCGGGGCCCTGCGAGCGTGAATGCGAGTGTAAGTGCATGCGTGTGTGTGCACGCGGGCACGGGGTCCTCCAGCTGTCCGGGCCCCGCCCCGCCCCCTCTCTCCGCACCCCTCTGCCTTCCCTCCCCCTCCTCCTCCTCCTCCCCACCATCACCCGGTCCGGGACGCCCCTGCTCCCGCCCCTCGCTGTGCTGTCCGGGGGTGCGCTTGCTCGCTTGGGGCGCCAGCTTCGGGCCAGCTCCCCCGCCCGCGCCTGGGAGGCGACCCCCGTGCTCCCAGGGTTCAAAGGCTCAGCGCAGCGGCTCCAGCCCCTCTGGGGGGCGGGGAGCGAAGGGGGTGGTGCGGGAACCAGAAAAGCCGGCGCCCACAGCCGTCTGGCCCTGCGCGGGGATGGGCAGCGCGCTCGGAAAGTTGTGACCGCCGCGGCCAAATTGAAGCTGGAGCCCAGGACGCAGCCGGACAGCGGCCGGACTGGGAAACCCTGTGCGGCCCCCGTGCCCTTTCGCGGCCACAGGCGGCCGGCTGTGCTGGGCCTGAGCAGCACCCACGCCCGATCGGGGTTCATGGAGCCGGGACTGTGGCTCCTTTTCGGGCTCACAGTGACCTCCGCTGCAGGTAAGCAGGCGGGGTGCCTCTCGCTGAGCCAGCAAGTGAGCGCACAAAGGGGCTGGGGAGGGGGCGCGGGGTCCGCCTGCGTGGGGAGCTAACTCTTGCCTGGGCTCTGCAGCCCTGCAAGCACTTGGGGGCCATGGGAGGGGAGGACGGCTAGGACGACCCTGTGGGCCCTGGGCTTGCAGCCCTGGCGACCTGGTCAAGTTTTCATGAAGTTCGAATCTTTTCAGAAAGTTTGCAAACTATTCAGAGACCGTGCAGAATGCTCACAAAGTTCTCAGAAAGTGCCAAATGCGTGCAAGTATTCAACCAGGGCAATTGCTTGCAGACTTTGCAGAGAGCGGAAACAGTGTGCAAGCTGTTCACAAAGTATGCACATAACTTGCAAACAGATCGTTTGACATAGCTTGGGGTGCTTAGAGAGCACGCACCCTTTGCAGAATCGAGTTACCCTCTCCTGGTGTTTGGGGGTGGTGGGTTTCAGTTTTTATCCCAGCAGCTCAGGAGCCCCTCACTGTGCCTCTTGCAGGACTTGGGCCCTGTCCTCAGGCTGGGGGCTCCGGCAGGACCAGCCTACCTCGGGGCACCCCTGCAGCCGCATCCGAGGGGGACTGCAAAGAGACGGTGCCTGGCCCCAGCGAGGAGCCTGGGGCTTCAGCAACAGCACAGAGTCCCGGGAAGTCTGGGCAGGAGCAGGCAGCTGGGCTGGGCCCCCAGCAGCACCACCGTGCCCGGCGCTGCACGTGCTTTACCTACAAGGACAAGGAGTGCGTCTACTATTGCCACCTGGACATCATCTGGGTCAACACTCCTGAGTGAGTCGGCCTTGGGGGGGGGGGTGCAGCTCCGGGCCAGCCCCGCACCCCCAGGTTCTGGCAGGGTCTCCTCCTGCCCTAGCTGGCTGGCTGCTGACCTGGCTTGGAGTCCAGCTCCTGCTGAGGTCTCCTGCCAGTCCAGGTCTGTCTGCAGGTCACGGGCCTCACCTTGATCCCATTTGAGGGTCTGCCCAGGGAGAAATTCAATCTTAGGCTTGTGATCGGTGGAAGGGGGGCCGTTCTCTCTGAGTGAAATGAGCTGGCCAGGGGGATTAGACACCTGAGAAGTCTCTCTGAGCCTCTTTTCTGAGACAGAGGAAGCCCCCAAAGTTTATCTCCTGCTTCGAAGGCTAAGTGGATTCGTCCCTGCTGGCGTCTGACCTTGCCAGGGTCCAGGGGTTTAAAATTCCTTGAAAGCAGGTTGCTCCCTGGGGAGTGAAAGGTAAACTGGGCTCCTTTCCTTCCCTGGCCTCCCCAAAGGCTGAGGCAGAGTAGATGCAGGGCTGCCCGTGCCCGGGTCTTTGAGGAGCTGGTTCCAGTGGCCCAGGGCCATGCCAGAGCGTCCCTGCCTCTGTCTTTAGAAGCCCCTTTCCTAGGGCCTGGTAGCACCTCTGCAGCAGAGCTGGGGCACGGTACAGTGAAGGCCACCCTTGCCCAGGGCCCTGGGAGGATTCGCCCCTGCCCTCTTCTCCCGCAGCCCTCTGGGAGCCCTGGCAGCAGACCCCGTCTTGCAAGTAATGTGGGGCTCTTGACCTTGTTGGTTACCACCACCTGGGTTGGGCTCTCTCTTGAGCACTTGGGACTTGGACCAGGTGCCTCTCAGATCTGTTGCCTGGCTGTCCTCAGGATCTCTAGGAACTTATGCTTGCAACAGGATTCTTGCCTGAGAACTTGGAGATGACTCTGAATGCAGCCTCTAGGCCGTGACAAGCAACAGTGTTCTGAGGCATCTCCATTACTGCCTCTACGTCCCAAGCCCATTAACATTGGAATCCCTCTGAGTGAGAGCATTAAGGGGGCTTATATCCCCAGCCAGACCCTTTAAGAATGAGGTGCAAGGGAGAGTAATCCTGAGGGATCCATGTGTCGGAAAGCAGGTGACATGACTTCTGAGAACTGCAGCTAGGTCTGAAGGTCACCCCACTATTCCAGAATGACAGGTGGGGCCAGCCTCGTTGGCAAGCCACCTAGACACCCAAACAGGCCTGGAACGTGGAAGGGTCTTGGCTCATGTAATGCCCTGACATGGCTGTCATAAAATTCTTAATCCTTTTTGAACCAAGGGTTTGCACGTTTTCCTTTTAATCTGAGTCCCACTGAGTCTGTAGTTGGTCCTGACAGCATGATGTGCTTGTCTGGGCTGAGTCTGAGGAGACTCCTGAACATCTGTCAGCCTGTCATAGGGAGATGGGGGGATAAAGGTGGTGGGTGTCGGGCATCATGGATGGCTTTCTATTCCTGGGCAGTAGCAGGGTCACCTTCTCTTATGGCCTCCATCACCCTGACGCTTGCCTGTTCTGTTCTTACCCTTCTAGCACTGTGATTCCACCAGACTAGTTTCACAGACTTGCGGGCTCCAGGCCCTCAAGATGACTTGAGTCATCTCCAGGCAGTCAGCAGAGGACTGAGGCCTAGTCTTGGTGCTAATCCCAAGCTGTTCACCTAGGAGGACAAAGAAGAAAGCAAGCTGAGCGCTTGGCTAGGGATAGGGATGAGGTTTGGAGATCCCCCCAGCTCTCCACCTGTCCTCCAAGCCTCGCTGGGCAGGAAGTGATTACTTGAGCCCTGGATGAGAGACTCCACAAACACCTTGTGGTATTTGAAATCCTGCCGAGAATCTTGAGCTGTCTTCTGTGTCCCGAAATGCAGCTATGGATCGTTGACTGTTTCCAGAACAGCCAACTTGATAACTTTCTCTCAAAGTTTGATTTACCTCTTCCCTTCGCCTCCCACCCTGACTCGTTCTAAACACTGGGAAAGAGGAGGTAAATCTGAGGTTCGGGCATCCGTGAGCTTCTTGGAAACAAAGGGGAGAAGAGCCAGGCTTGAGCGCTTTGAAATGAAATAAACCATAGACGTGACAGATGGAAGAGCTTTCTGGCTGGCCTTTCCCCACCTTCCTCTTCACACCCCCCTCTCATTTCTTTTCCTCTCTCCTTCTCCCTCTGTCCCTTCTCTCTCGTCACTGCTTCTTTCTTGAAAACTGATGGATAGGTAAGCTCCTTACCTTTAAAATATCTCAGAGAGTGCCCACTCCGGCAGCACGTGTACTAAAATATCTCAGACTGCAAGCTGAGAAAAATGGGTCCTAGTGTCTGACAGGGAGTGTGGGTCCTGCGGGGGAATGGAGGCTGTCTCCGGCTGCAGGGCCCTGGAAGGGCGAGCCGGGGTCTGATCCTATTTCTGTCTCAGCCCCCCTCTCTCGTATGTTTAGTTCCCTGTCACTTCGCCCCTCCACCTCCGCAGACCTTCTGGTCTTGCCCTCAAAGCTTCTACCCCAGGCTGTGATCTGCAGCCAGGCCCTACAGCTGGCTGTGTGCGAATCTGGAGGGGCCTCGGTCCTCACGCCTGCACCCAGATTCTTGCGTCATGGGTGTTCCTGCACTTTGGGGTGGCTCTTCCTCCTTATGCCCATTCAACTGCATGTTGAGGAAGTCTGCAGTGCTGCTCTGTCTTGGGAAGACACTTGTGTAGACCTCCAGGGAAGGAGCGTTCCGCGCATGTGGCTACTTGGGCCGTGTTCGCAGGCTTAACCCTGCAGGAGTAGCATGGAGCATTCCTCTTGGGACCCATTTTGCATCTTCTCATGGAATGGTAGTTGTCTACATTAGGCCCAAGGGATTAGTCATTCTAATAAGAACCTGCTGGACAGGAGGTCTGAGATTTCCTGGTTCTTCTTTTCTCCTAGGATCTGAGTTCGGGCAGCCCTTTCTGCCAGCACTCAGCATCTGACAGATGACCGGTTAATGCTGGTTGACTGACTTTCGCACAAGCCCTACCCCAGTTGTCCTTTCTTGCCTCCCCTGTGGCTGTGGGCTAACTCGAAGCATTTTCCCCTACCTGTGAACTTCCTTCGCCTAGCACGTGTGGCTTTGCTCACTGAATTGGCACGAGAATGTATGTTTTCTGAGGCACATGATCCGTATCTTCCATCATATTCTACAAAAAGTCTGTGGCCCCAGACAGGAAGCAGATTCCCTTGGTGACTGCATTTCTTGGCTCAGTAGAGGTGGCTGAGATCACAGCTAACTGTGTGGGACAGTCATTCTCCTAAAACTTTGCTTGGCCACTTTAGGAACCCTAAGTCCCCAAACAATCCCGCCAATGCCAACCAAAAATCCCAGATCAGAGCAAAACACATCCTATCTTATTCTGAAAATTTTGCAAAGAATAAAATAGTAAGGGGAGAGGCCAAGAACCAGAAGATGCAATACTCATGCCCTTGTTTGCTTGGGCTTGTCCTCTGTGACTCCACATAAAAACTCGAGTGTCCTAGGAAAAACTGGTTATTGTATCAGTCAGGGGTTTCCAGATTTTTTAGAGAAACGGACCCAGTAGGAAGTATGTGTGTGTGCGTGCGTGTACATGCTTAGGCACACACACACACACACACACACACACACACACACACACACACAAAGCTGGGTTTGGCTCATGTGACCGTGGGTCTGGCAGGTCTGAAATCTGCAGACTGAGGCTGGACGTTCCAGCAGGAGCTGGTGGCATAGACTTGAGCCGGAAGGCAAGGAGGAGGCAGTGTCTCTTCTTGCTTGGGGAACCTCGGTCTGCTCATGAGGCCTTCAGTATGCAGCCTGCCCACCTTATGGAGGGTCCTGTGCTTTGCTCAGAGTCTTCTGACATAAATTTAACAGCATTAGAAAAGACCTTCACAGCAACACAGAGTGGTGTTTGACCAAACACCTGGTCAACCGCCATGTGGTCATTGGTTCTAACTATCCTGCTGCAGCTGGCCCCACAGAGCTGGCTGAAGAGCTGCAGAACACCCAGCCAAGTGCCCTGCAGCAGCCCCCCACGCCACAAGCTGAGGGAGCCTGCCAGCTGTTACCCTCCCCCCATGGACACACGAAGTAAGTGCTGGAGGCTGTGATGGTGACCGTGTGTCTTCCGCATGGAAATCTGAGCCACGTGGCTTACAAGGAGGGATGTGTTCATGGAAAGAGCGGAGTGGGATGCTCGAAATCATGACTGGCAGAAAATCTGGGCTTCCAACTCCCAGTCCTGTGGGCTGGCCGGGAGAGTTTGGAGAGCAGACTTCGTACCCAGGTACCCTGGCCTCGAGCCCTAGCTGTGACTCCGTGTGGCCCTAGGGTGGACATGCCATCAGCTCTTGGCATTGGTTCTGTAAGGTACAGACTCTAGGCCTGGTGTAGGGCCTTGACCTCAGGTCTCCCTGAGCCCCATGGACTGACCATCTCCTAAAGGACATTCGGCCCAGCTGCCTGGACCACTCCGACACACGGCATGCTTACCTAATCCCACAGGAATGACATTTGTTTTGCATTCTTTTGCTCTAGACAGAAGTGGAGTAAAACAAGGACAATGATAGTAATCGTAATAATAAAGCATTTGAACTTTGATTTTGATATGATCTATCTCAGAAAGACAATATTGCCATAGTTTCTGGCTTCGTCTTCTGAGTTCTTCAAGAAAGATGCACTTGAGTGTGTTTGCAAGAAAATGCTTGCTAAATTTTAGGGTGTTCTGATGGAGCAGGGGGGCTAGAACTGCAGTTTCTTGCAGATGAGAACCAGCTGTGCATCTGTCATGGGATTCCGGGGACCCCAATTGAAGCCACTCTGTCCCACGAGCCAGGCCAGGCTGAACTATTGCTAGGAATGTGTGGCCCTTTGAGTCGAAGGGACGGAGCCTCTGTGGCCATCATAGCTTTTGGAAAGTGTCACTGCCCTGCAGGGCTCCCGAGTAAGCCTGTACCCTGTCCCCTCCAACACTTGGTGAGGCTTACCTTGTTACCGTGTGTA